CCCAGCCCTCCCCCTTCACCACCCCCCACCCCACGCCTGCAGAGGGGAACCGAAGGGTCCAGCCTGTTCCTATTAAAAGAAAACGGGGATGGGGGCGGTGCGGGTTTTGAAAGTTTTTCTTTTTTTAAAAAAATTTCTCAAGGGATTTCCTTCCCTCCTCTCCTCTTCCTCTCTTCCTCCCATTCCTCTCCCCCCACCACCCTCCCCCCTTCTTTCCCCCTCCCGGTCCCTATGAGTCAAACTTCAGCAATGTGCCCAGTGTCTCCCAGTGCATTACAGCGGATCACAGAAATGTTCCAGTCTGTGAGTCGGAATGCAGCCGCCTCCAGCCCTCCCTCGGCTAATAAACTCAGCTCCTGCAGGCTTTTCGCGGCGCCCTCCCTGACCCCCTCCACCCTTTTAGCCGAGGGAGGTCAGATTCAGGGGTCAGAGGCTGAGGACCTCACCACTCTGCTTCCCAGCCTAGTCTGTCAGCCCTGTCGCCTCTGGCAATCTGCTGGGTTAGAGACCCCGTGGCTCCTGGGAAGGGGAGAGGTCCACAACCTGATCCACCAGGCTCTCCTTCCCGTGAGGCATCACCACTGGAAGGCAGGGCGCAACCTCCATCTGACCCCAATCTTCCCTTATTCCTAGGAACCCCAAGAGTCTCAGGATTCTACAGAAGGAGAAATTGAGGCTGAGCCAGAGGCAGAGCCATGCCAGACGGAGAAACAAGAGTCCACAGTGGCCTAAGAGGGCCTGGCCACACCGAGGTCCAGCTTCTGACCGTAGACTCCTAGTTCCCACAAGCACAGCTCCAGCCTCACCACTAGTTGCTAACTGGGATTTTTAGCAGCCGACTTCCGTCTTCAGTCCCTGTGGGTGTCCCAGAGTGCACTTGTTAACTTACCCTCCCAAAGTCCTTTCCTGGCCTCCAAGCCCCCCTGCTGCCTGGCTCCATGCTGCACAATCTCGCTCTCTCTTTTGCTGCTGTTCTGCCCAGTGACTCCTGGTACGTAGTGCTCAACAATGCTAGTTGCTATGATTACTATTATTATTGAAGCCAAAGTGGGCTGCTGGCTGCTCCCCATCGTGTTCTCATTCCTTCCCACTCCCTCACCTTGGCTCATCATGTTCCCTCCAAAAGTGAATGTCCTCACAGTCCTTTCTCCTCCTGTTGAAATCTTTCCAGTCCTCAAGTCTGTACCAGCTTCCCCAGGAGCCATTCCCTGATTGCCATAGCCAGAGGGATCTTTCCTTCCATTAAAGGACCCCACCCCACGTTGTCAGTCTGTCTCAACTCTCCTTCAAGAGTGGACATCCCCGAACCCAGCGACTGCCTTAGTCGTGACGGCATTTCTTGTAGTGTCTTGCTAAGGGCCTTACACAGAATTCAAGCCCCCTATAGTTATTTGCTGAATTGGGACATATTCATGGCCTTCAAGGACCATACCCGAGCTGGACACCTCCAACACACCCTTTTTTACTCATGACTCCCCATGCTGACTCTGCAAGACACATGCTCTTCCACCTCAGGTGTGTTCTTCTACCTCAGGTGTGTTCTTCCCAGCCCTTACTTCCAAACCAGATCACTCTCCTTCCAGATGCCTCTTCTGTGCCCATAGCCTCCAGAAAAAATTGCTTGGTTACTTCAGACACTCAGTCTTTTCCCTGTGTCTCTCTCCTTTAGCATCCCCCACCCCCACCCCCACCCTCTCTTAATCCCCTCAGGACTCCTGTCGTTATTTCTGGACTGAAATCAGGCCTTTGTGTACTCATTTCTACCATGTGCATCAATCATGTATTTATTTGTGAGCCTTCTCTTTCTTTTTGACGTAATCACCGAGCTCTGAGAGATTTGAGCAAAAAGGGTCTCTCCCATCCTAGCTGGTTTAGCTCAGTGGATAGAGCTTTGGCCTGCGGACTGAAGAGTCCCGGGTTCTATCCTGGTCAAGGGCACATACCCGGGTTGCAGGCTCGATTCCCAGTAGGGCACGTGCAGGAGGCAGTCTATCAGTGATTCTCTGTCATCATTGATGTTTCTCTCTCTCTTCCTCTCCCTTCTTCTCTGAAATCAATAAAAATACATTTTAAAAAAGGTGGTCTCTCCCCCTGCCTGTGTCTACCCTGTGGTACCCAGCACCTGACTCTCTGCACACACCAGGACTCACTGCCCCCAAAGTATAGACAGAGAGGAAGATAGCTTGTGGGACCTGCCTCTGGGAAGACGGACTGTGCCCCTCCCTCACTTCCCAGGTTTACTTACCATTTCACAGGCCCTACTTCCCATGACCGAGTCTTAAGCCAGTTTCTAAGTCACATGTCCCTTGCTGGGATATGTTAGAGAGCCTCCAAGAACCCTCAGAGACACGAGGCAGAAAGGTACAGGCTGCCTCTCTCTCCTCTACCCTGGTTACCATGGGAGGTTTTTTTTATAAAAGGCTCTTGAGTGCAGGCTTCTCACAGACTGCTCAGCTCAGCACCTAGCAGAAGAGATGAGCTCTATGGGACCGGCCTTGTCTCACCCGAGTCTTCCTGGAATCTCTGCCCAGTACAAAGTCTGAGGGGCTCCTCTTTGACTCCTCTTTGTGGTTCTGGGCCTACTTGACTTTTTTCCCCTCTTTTTCCTCTTCTTCCCATACTTAGCTTTTTCTTTATTCTTTTCTTTTTTTCTGACTATTTACCATGTAACAGTCTTATATTACCCCCTTGGCAAACATCAGATCATTTATTTTTTATTTTGTTTTCTAATATATTTTTATTGATTTCAGAGAGGAAGGGAGAGGGAGAGAGCGTGAGAAACATCAATAATGAGAGAGAATCATAGATCAGCTGCCTCCTGCACACCCTACACTAGGGATCAAGCCCAAAACCCGAGCCCACAACCTGGGCATGTGCCCTGACCGGGAATTGAACCGTGACCTCTTGGTTAGTAGGTTGACGCTCAACCACTGAGCCACTGGGAAGATCATTTATTCTTAACAATAACCCTTATCGTGGTCATGATTAAAGTATGGCTCATAAAGGGTTAAGAAACCTCACCAAACTTACACAACTAGTAAGTGAAGGGGCCATTCATTCATACAACAAATATTACCGGGTGTCCTCCTTGTGCCAGGATTCAAAGCTCCAGAAGGTCATCTGGTCTAAACTCAGGGCTCGAGATCACTCCTGATCCGGCCATCCTGATATAGCAGCCAAAGCCACAATCCATCCCCCAGTCCACACTCTCCACACACTCTCCACAAAGGCAATCAAAAAGCGCTCTGCCCCCAAAGGCTGGTGAGATCTCTGAGGACCATCTCATTGGGTTGGATTGGGCCTTGCATTCCAGTTTCTGAACCTGGGATCAAACGCCATTTCATCGGGTTTTGAAGGGGCAGATTAATAGAGGGGCAGGTCCCCAACTCCAAATAAAGGGTTTCATGGTACCAGATATAACAAGTGGAAGGCAGGAAGGAAAGGGAGGGAAGATCATTAGGATTTACTGAGCGTCTCCCTTTGTATCATATGCTGTTCAAGGCCCTTTCACTTATGTCTCGTTATTATCCCCATTGTTTTAGTGAGCAAACTAAAACTCAGAAACAAAATGACTTCCCCTAGGCCACAGAGCCAGTAAGTGACTTAATCCTGAATATGTCTGATGCAGAGCCTGCGCAATTTCTTCGAGCAGGTCACAACAACGGGGAACCTGCTGTCAGGTCTGGTAATACGTGGCTATTTGAGGTCCCAGCTGACCTATGTGTGACATCCTAGATGCCAAGTTTTCTTCCTCACTGACCCAGCCCTGTTATCGCACCTCTGGTTCCCACCTTTCACAGTTGTTTTGATTAGGGAGCTACGTAAGTATTCTGGCTAGGATTGGGGGGCGGGTTGTGTGGCTTTGGGATGCAGCGAGGCAGACCCCCATCCAGGATTTCAGGACCTGAGAGAAGAAGTGATAAGCCTCCTGGGCCATAACGGGATGGATAAATGAAGAAGAGGCTGGAGCATGGCTTTAAGTCCATATGGCTCTGGTTGGGAGGCTGATGACCGTGGGGACTGGGGCAGGTGGCAAGAACTAAGCAAGTCCCTTCCCCTGCGCCCCTCCCTCCCTCAGTGTCAACAAAGGTGATGTGGTTTCCCCTGTGGTCTGTCGCCCTAGACACCTGCAGTTCTGAGTATACGTGTATGCGTCTATGTGCCAACAATGCTGTGAGGGGACACAAGGAGAAAGCGGTGGGACAGGATGGGGAGGGGCAGGAAGCCAAAGACAGGCTCTCCTCAACCCCAGGACGAAGAAAGAGCAACGAATATACAAGATGGCAAAGATCACCCCCTTGATGATTCCAGGTGCCCAGGAACATCGGGAGAGAGCTCGAAGAGAGGCATTGTGGGTATCAGGGCCCCTGGTTGGGGCTGGGAGTCAAAGAACTTGAATTCTAGGCCTGGTTCTGCCATTAACTTCCTGGGTCTCACCTTTCTAAGTCTTAGTTTCCTGCTTTGTAAAATAACAATTAATTTGGCTACCTACCTCACTGGGCTGCTCTGAGATCATATGAATAATATATGCAAAAGTTTGGACCAATGTGAGTTTTAGAAGTATTGTCCTGAGAGCATAAGAAATATTATAATTACTTACTCTAGCCCTGGGTGCAACACACCACGTGCGTGCACGCGCGCGCGGAGACACACACTCCACAGTGGAGATAAAGAACATTAAAGGCAAAAACAAAAACACAGCCTCTGCCCTCATATAGATCACAATGTGTTGAAGAAACAAAACAAACACATAAAATACTTGAAAGCCTCTTGGGAAGCCAACTATTTAAAAAATCTCACTATCTGTGCGATCTTGGCCAAGTCACAAGTCCTCTGGGCCTCAGTTTTCTCACCTGTCAATGAGGGAGCTGGTTTGGATCATCTCTACTTATTTTTCTGAGTCTAAAGCAGTTTTCTGATTCTGTTATTCCAAGCGTAAATGGGTACATAGCAAAGAGGAGAGACTTGGGCAGAGCCTGGCGGGAATGAAGCAGGCGAGTGTGGAGCTGGGTTTTACAGGAGCCCAGAAATGTGAGTCAGTGTGGAGGCGGGGGGGTGGGGGGGGGGGTGACATTCCAGGTAGGGAGAAAGGCATGTGCCAGGGCAAGGCAAGGAAGCAGAGGGGTGGCAAACAGATTAGCAGGCTCAGGAATGAGGTTGGTGAGGACTGAGGGAGTCTGGGGAGGAAGTCAGGACTGGAGGAGGAGAAGGGGCAGTCCCCAGGGCTGAGGCAGCTGAGACAGAAAGTGGGGGAGGAATAGGGGTGGGAAGACACTCTCTCAGCCCCAGAGGTCGGTGCCAAAGCCCATGCAGCCAAACTCCACCCAGGAGAGGGAAGGAAAGGTTCCCTTGCCAAGAGGCCCCACCCACCAGAGAAGGCCCATTCCTCCCTTCCCCTTTACCCCAGTCCCACCCCCAACCTGGAGGTAAGTGAGGGTCCCCTGAAGCCAGAGCTTCATTAGTGATGGAAACAAACAGCTGGGGTCACTGCCACCTCCCTCCATAACAATAATGTCAGCACAGTAATAATAATAGTGATGGTGATGATGATGACAATGAAATAAACTACTCTTCACTTGCCCTGTGATAAAACCTCCCAGCACCCAAACCTCCTGATACTCGCCGGTTCCATTTATTAGAATCTTTGTTCCTAAGAGCTTCAAATGATTTACAAGGTTATCTAGTCTGTAGGATCCCCCAACCCCGATAATATATCAAAATCACTTGGAAGAATCTGTGAAAACAGATTCCTGTGCCTCCTCACAGACCTGCTCAGACCCTTTGGGGTGGGGGGTACCCAGTAATCCGCAGCTCCCAGGTAATTCTAAAGCGTGGTTAGGTTTGGGACCCCTGGCCTAATCCAAACCACTCCTTTCACAGATGAGGAAACTGAAGACCCGCGGGGGAAAATAACTTGCCAGAGATGACATGGTTAGTCATGAATCAGAGAGGGGAGCAGGCAGAGAACTCGGGCGTCCCAGCTTCTAGGTCAGTGCTCCTTCCACAGCCCGCACTGCCCAGCCCGGAGATGCCTGTGCCAGCAGAGATTACAGTCAGGGAGGCAGCCACCAGGCCATACACTAATCATGAGCAAGAAGAAATTCGTCTGAGTTGCAGAATGTTTTTCCACAGCCAGCTCACGATTACTCGCTCCAGTGGGCCCCTGCAGGGATGCTGGGGTCCACCCACAGGTGAGCCTGGGGCTTCGGCTTTGCTCCATGCCCCCAACAGCACCCCCTGTAGCCCCAGTGGCTACATTGGCTGGAGGGCAGGGTCCTGCCTTGTTACAAATTGTAAAGGTGCCTCTTAGGAGGCACTTGTCTGTAGCCAGGGAACCCCCAGGGAAGACCTTAAGGAGGTCCTGGCCTACTGGCACTCACCTCTCTTCCCTAGGAGTGGTTTTGGAGTGGGTTTGGACAGGCCCCTGCATGTCCAGGGAGTGGAGGCAGGAAAGAAGCAATGAGCTGAGGTGAGGGTGAAATGGGGTGAAGGTGGCTACGAAGGGACATGGGTGGGAGTGTCCTTACTAAGACTTTGAAGTACTCCACCCACATGTGACCACCACTGCACTCTTTCTCATCGAGTGTAACTTACTTATTGAGCGTCTACTCTGTGCCAGGTTCTTGGGCACGGCACCGAGGCAAAAGAAGCCACAGGTCCGATCATGGAGGAATGCATCTTTTCCTGGAGAGCAGGAGGCAGCCGAAAAGAGCCTGGATGAGAGCTGTCAGACAGGGGCTCCCACAGCGGGTGTTGCCAAGGAGACGCTGGGTTCACAGGGTCACAGCAGTTCCGTGTTGGAAAGGACCCAATGGATTACTGGGTCCTTTAGCCGGGGCACTAATCCTGCTCTGACCTGCCCCCTCCGTGCCTGAGGCAGTAGTTGGGAGGCTGAGAGACAAGGCCACTCTCTACTCTTGGGCAGACCCCGAGGATGGGCTCCACACTGAGCTTTAAAGGAACCATTTAGAAACCTGTAGAGGAACGGTGAAGGGAGGCTGCGGCATACTGTGGTTAAAAGCAAGAATTTGGAGTCCGGCTGCTTGGGTTGGTGTTGGTCGCTCACCCACTGCGTGAGCTGCAGCACGGAATTTGACCTCTCGGTTTCCTCATCTGCAGACGGGCGGTGTGGAGTGCCTGCCATATTAGGGTTGTTGTGAGGACTCCTGAGATCAGGACATGAAGTGCTCAGCACAGAGCCTGACGCACACAGGGCTCTGCTGGGGATGGAGCTCGGTGCTGACATTAGTAACAGGAGACAGTGTCCTGTCTCTTCTGCCCCTCTAAGCTGCAGTTTTCCCCTACAAATTCAATCTCAGTGATGCTGACCTAATTTATGCAAAGGAATCCAAATGGGTCTCTAACCCAAGCTGACCCCTGCGGGGCGTGCCGGGTGGCTGGGCTGGGCTAGGGGTGTGGGGACACTTGCTGGACCCACCCTCCCGAGGTCCTCTGGTATTGTCTCAGTTGCGTCAGAGTTGAGGGGAACCTGGACCCGGCTGCTGGGAATGCCCAAACCGGCTGTAGAAAGAGCCTTGCCTCCTCTCCCCAATCCTGGCAACAGCACATCTGGAGTGATCTGCACATCTGGCTGCATCCCTGGGGTAATAGCCACAGCTGCTGACATTTGAGGGAGGAGAGATCTAGCTCCTCAGCCAGGGCCTGGGGGGCTATAAATAACTAGCTAAGAGGACCAGGGGGACAAGGTTGACCTTTGGGGGGGGGCGGGAGCGGCTGGCAACTTCCCCCACCCCCTTGGGTCCAGAGCCAGAGTTTTAGCAAAACAGGAAGAGGCAGCAGCAGCAGCTGCTGGGAAAGTAGGAGTGGCTCCTCTTCCCCCACTTGCCTGGGGCCTTCGGATCCCAGCCAGGACCTGGGAGAGGTGGAGTCATCTAGGCGGGAGAAGCGGGGCAGACCCGTGCAGACTGTGGTCCCAGCTCCTGGTGCCCTCCTATGGCTCTTCTGGGGCACAGGCAAGAGAGAAGGAAGTGGAGAAGGGCAGCCCAGTGGGCTGTGCCCTCCCTCCTGGCTCCCTCCTATTCCCTTTCTGTTCCCCTATCAGTGGGACAACAGGAAGGACAGACATTCAAAATTGAGCATAAAATACATCTGCTGACCCAGCCAATGTATCTACAGGCCCAGGGGCATGTCAAGTCCGCCTCCCTCTCTCATCCCCTTCCAGCCCACAGGTGGGCTGGGCCTAAGCGCCGGTGCTGGGAGAGAGGGCGCTAGACAGGAGGAAGGATGCCTCTGGGCTTCTGGACAGGGGCCCAGGGCCTGGCCTCAATGAATGAAGAACTTCTCCATGAACTATGGAGGTGGGTGGCTCTGGGTGACTGTGTGTCTGGAGTAACAGGGCATCACAAAGACAAGCTCTGGAGCGCCATACGCCAGCCCAGGAAATGTTGCCTTGTCCAGGCCACTGGGCCACTCAAAGTCTGTCCTGCGTATCCAACTGGGTGGTGATATCTCCAGTGGGGTCTGCATCTAAATCTGTGGGGACCTGTCATTGCCTCAGCCTGGAGCCCCGAGTTTTGCCTGCAGGGGGGGTCTAGATCAGCACTGTTCAAAAGAAACAGAATGTGAGCCACACATGTAACTTTAAATTTTCTTTACGAAAAGAAAAAGTAAAAAGGTGAAATTCATATTAATAGTGTATTTATTTAACCTAATATATGTAAAATATTGTCATTCAACATGTAATCATAACAAAAAATTGTTAATAGTTTACGTCCTTTGTTTCATACCAAGCCTTTGAAATCCAGTTTAGGTTTTATACTTATAGCATATTTAAATTCTAATTAACAAAATTGCAAGTGATCAAAAATAAAATAAAAAGCCTTAGCCAGTTTGGCTCAGCGGATAGAGCATCGGCTTGCGGACCGAAGGGTCCCAGGTTCGATTCTGGTCAAGGGCAGGTACCTCGGTTGCAGCCTCCTCCTCGGCCCGGGCCCTGGTGAGGGTGTGTGCAGGAGGCAACCAATCAATGTGTTGCTCTCACATCGATATTTCGGTCTTCCCCTCTCTCTTCCACTCTCTCTAAAAATCAATGGAAAAATATCCTCAGGTGAGGATTAAAAAACAAAACAAACAAACACACAAAAAACCATAACAAAACACAAAATTGCAAGTGCTCAGTAGCACGTGGGCTAGTGGCTTCTGTATTGACCAGCACAGGCTTAACTTAACCTCTTTGTCAGCCCGTGTAGTCTCTTGCTGGGAAAGAGGCTCAAGAAGTGGAGGAGGAGGCCAGTGAGGTCAATATTAAGAGTTAATTTGCTCTAGGAGGAGGGCCACCTACTTTGATTTTCAAGCATCTATTTCTAGACCTAGAGCCAGTCCTACTTTATAGGCAACCAGGGAAACTGAGTCACAGAGCAGCATCTTCTTAGAAAAATGGTCTCCTCCTCCTCTTCCCAGCCCTCTTCCTCCAAGCTGGAGGTTGGTAGAATCTCATTTCCTCTTCAGGAGAACTAGCCTCTACCCTCTTTCCCCTTCCAAACACACCACCAGGCCCAAAGGTATTAGGGCAGCAGAGCTAGGGAATAAAACAGGAGAAGCTAATTTGGAGAGAAATACAGAGTCAAGCTGTGGACATGTGGATTGAGGTACTGGTGGTTCAATATCAGGGTTGGGGGGGGCGGATTGAGTGGACAGTTACTCTCTGGACCTCTGAATAGGGGGGAGGACAAATAAAGATCTGGGGTCATCGGGGAGAGCTGGAGTTGTAGGTAGCAGTGGATGAGACCACCAGAGCAGGGGAAATAGGAGAGAAGGGAAACCAAGGGGACCCGGAAGAAGGCTAAACACAGACACTTGAGAAAACAAAGGTTTCAGGTGAGCAGAGGGGTGGCAGCCACGGAAGGAGGTTGAGAGGCAGCAGTCGGAGAGGTCAATGAAGCAGGCGTCAGCGCCCTGTCTGAATCCAAAGGGGGGAAAAATGTCCAAAAGGAGAGATTGGGCGCAATTGGAATGGACAATGCTTTAAAATCATTCTTATAGAGAGAGCTCATATGGATTGATAAGAAACACTGAAACAATGCTAGACTAAGTTCAAAGCACAGAAACGACTCTTCAGGGAAAGAGGAAACAGCTAGTAAGCAAAGGTAGGGAAATGTTCAAAGTAACGCCAATTAAAACAAGATAAAGGTAGAAGCCACTTTCAGACATCAGTGAGAGTGTGGTGAAATGTACACGTTGTTGGTGGTGGTGTAACCTCTTTTGAAATCAGTTTGGCAATATATAGTGGGAGCTATAAAATGTTTTTTACCCTTTGGCTCAATAACTCCACCCAATGTACCTAAACTGTCTTTCTTTAGCCGAAACAGAATGGAATAAGTGCATAATGATGTCCACCACCACACGATTTGTAATGGGGAAAATTAGAAACAATTTGAACACCTACAGCTGGAAAATTGTGAAGTAAATTATATTTCCACTTAATAGAAAATTATAAAGCTGATAAAAAGATGCATATGAATGCAGCCTAGTATCTCAGGAGAATATAGATTCGTGTATGCCCTGTGATGGCAACTGTCTTAAACACACACACACACACACACACACACACACACACACACACCATAAGCACAGAGAAAAAGATTCAGAGGAAATGCATGCAATAGTAATGATTATGTAAGGTGGTATGAGTATACACATTTTTCTAGTTATTTAATAATTGCCAACCTTGTAAAGAGCTGTGGTGAGTGGGGAGACTGGGCTACTCGTAGGCTCCTGACATCCCCTTGGAGGTGATGAATTTGTTCACTTAGCAGGTGCAGGTATATACTGGGCTCTGTCCATGTGCCAGGCACTGTCACTGTGGGTGTTAGCTCAGCGCTGTCCTGATGGGAAAAGCCCAGGTTTTCGGCCTGGGTTCCCAGGTGCTCTGGCCACTGGAAGCTCCTGGCGTTCCACTGGCTCCTGTGTCCCTGCTGAGCAGGACTTTGTCCTGGTCCTGGAGGGGCAGCCCCAGAGAGCAGAACCAAGGTAGGTCAAGAGCAGATCCTGGGCAAAGGGAACAGTGTGTGTGGGTAGCAGTGGCCCAGGGAGGTTGGGGGAGGGTGGGAGGGATCGCCAAGGAGCTTAGGGGATGGGAGGGCTGCTCTGCTCTGGGGGAGGGGTTGGCGGGCTGTGGTCAGCCACCTGCCATTTCACATCGCCTGAAGGTGACATGAGATGTAAGTAGGCCATCACCTCCACCGCCCCCCACAGGAACTCTACCTGGGCCCCCACCTACGGGCACCATCTGCCCGGGAAGCCTCCTGCTCCTCCCCCCTCAGTTATCTTCCTACAGTGACACACTGGGGCCTTGAAATAACACGTCTTTATTTACGCCATCATTTCCACATCATTTGCCTATGATTCATTTGTTGTCAAGAGGCATTAAAACCTCCAGGCCCACCTCCCAGGCACCCACCAGTCCCTGTCCCCCACTCCTGTGTACTGGCCTTCCTTGCCCAGATCTCACCCTCATCCCTGCTCCCTGAACCCAGCATCCCCCAGTCCCACCTGCACCCCCACCCCAGCTCCTCCCTCCCGGCCTTTGTTGGGGAGTGGGAAGCAGGGGCTGGGCTGTGAAGGGCCCAGATCACATCTGTCTGCTTCCCGGCCCAGACCCTGGCCTGAGGGAGTCCTCCAACCCTAGGACGGGGATGACCTCATGCAAGCAGGAAGCCCTGGGAGAGGGAAGACGCTTCTCTTTGCCTAGAAGCAGGAAACCGTGGAACCCCCAGCCTTTTCTGCGACCCCCCACCCCTCACTTCCTCAGGCTGGATTTTCCTCATACCTCAAGGCTGGTCCCTGGGTCCCTCCCCCTCACTCTGTTTCCTACATGGCACACGGGTATGAAGTTTCCACCATGCGTGCACGTGTGTGTGTGTGTGTGTGTGTGTGTGTGTGTGTGTGTGTGTTGCGGGTAAGAAGAGTTGTCTTTCACACACTCATTACCCA